AAAAAAAAAAAAATATATATATATATTTAAAAAAAAAAAGTTGCTGGGGCTGAGATTTACCTAGTATGTGCAAGGCCCTGGCTTCAATTATCAGTACCTCAAAAACAAACCAAAACCACTACATTCTGATGGTTACTTTTATTCTATTGATCATTTAAAGTCAGGTTTTAATTGGATTTCAGAGACTGACAGCAATGACTTACATTTTGTTGTTTACTCTCTCTTTCTAGTATTCATATTTACTAACAAGCCAGCTGGAATCTCAGCGAATCTATTGGGAAAACAAGATAGTGCGGATAGAGAAGGACACAGCAGAGGAAGTAAGTCTGTCTTGTTTGGTGACTGCTGAAATGCCATCTGGCAGGGCAGTCTTATGGTGGGTGGGAAGCAGAGGGCAGGGGAAAAGGAGTCGTTAGGATCTTCCTTCTGAGTCTGATAAATGGTAGAGAACAGTTTTGCCTCTAAAAAGAAACCTTGAGGGTGCTGGGGCTGAGCTCAGTGGCAGAGCACTTGCCTAGTATGTGTGAGGCACTGGGTTCAATCCTTAGCACCACATAAAAATGAAACAAAACAAAGGCATGCTGTCCATCTACAACTAAAAAAAAAAGAAAAGAAAAGAAAGAAAGAAACCTTGGGCTTAAAGGATTGTAATTTTCAAGCAGTTTATGCAATTCTGTTACAAACATAAGGTAAGTATATGAGGGCTTGTAATTTGAGTCAGCCAGTTGGTTTGTCAACTTGGGAACAGCTGCCTTTGAGAGCAGCTTTGAACTTCTGAGGCTACAAGATGGTATTAAGCTCTTTTAAATTAAAGGAAATAAAATTGGGCAGAGATGTTAAAGAGTTTCAGGGGTCATCCTGGCAGGATATTGGGCTGGGTCAGTGGTTTCCAGATTTTAACAAAATAAAGATGCCATCTAAACCAGGCATGCTGGCACACACCCAGCTACTTGGGAGACTGAGGCAGAAGGATTGTACATTTGAGGCCTGCATTGGCAGCTTAGCAAGACCTATCTCAAAATAAACAAAAAAGACCAGGCTTGGGCTGAGGTTGTGGCTCAGTGGTAGAGCGCTTGCCTAGCATGTGTGAGGCACTGGGTTTGATTCTCGGCACCACATATAAGTTAATAAATAAATAAATGTCTGTCAACAACTAAAGAAAAAAAAAAAAGAGCCAGGCTTGTAGCTCAGAGCTTGCCTACCATATGTGAAGCCCTGAATTCAAACTCCAATACTGCAAAAAGAAAAACCAAAAAAGATGCCATTCAGCTCAAGCCTGTAGTCTCAGCTACTTGGGAGACTGAGAAAAGAGGATCACATGAGGCCAGACTAGGCAACGTAGAAAGATCCCATGTCAAAAAGCAATTAATGGGCTGGGTATGTGGCTCAAGCAGTAGCGTGCTTGCCTGGCATGCGTACGGCCTGGGTTTGATCCTCAGCACCATAAACAAATAAAGATGTTGTGTCTGCTGAAAAACTAAAAAAATAAATATTAAAAAAATTTTTAAAAATTCACTAAGTATAATTGTTTTAAAAAAAACAAAAAGCAATTAATTTTTTTAAAAATATGCCATTCAGTTATTTCATGATGTGAAAGAGAAAAGTGGTGTGGTTTGGGTGGAAAGCTGGGTAGAGGACTCAGACCCCTCCCAGCTTGATTTTCCCTCTATTTCTAGCATGTACAAAGAATCCTGAGAGTTTCAAATAAGGTAATTTGAAAAACCATGAGGGTTTCTATATAATTAGGGCTCTAGGAACCATTCTCTGGACTTAGGGACAGGGTCTGTAATTCAGTGTATCCCTTTGTATTAAATAAAGACCTTTGACATTTTTCTTTTTTCTTTTGTGGTGCTTGGGATTGAACCCAGGACCTTGTGCATGTGAGTCAAGCACTTTACCAACAGAGCTATATCCACAAGACTTTTTTTTGACATTTCTTTTTTTTTTTATGTGACCAAAT